GGTATTGTCTGATTACTGAAGTGTTGGCAGGCAGGTAGCATGTGCTAACACAAAGTGTTTGTTCGCTAGCTGAATCGTGCATAAGAAAGGTAGCGTCAGGGTGCCAATGTATAAAGTAGATAAGGTGAGTTGAATGAAAGGGGAACAGATGAAAATTGAATACTACCTGTATTTATTGTTGTTGGCATAAAGGATTGACCCTAAGTGTTATGAAAACTTTTCTTAAGAAGCAGTCCACAAAATGTAAATCAAATCACAATAAGATAGCATCTCACTCCAATCAGAATGGCTTTTGTTAAAAAGTCAAAAAATAACATGTTGGCGAGGCTGCAGAGAAAAGTGGGCACTAATACACTGTTTGTGGGAATGTAAATTCGTCCAGCTACTGTGGAGATCAGTTCGGAGATTTCTCAAAGAACTAAGAGTTGAACTACTATTCCACCCAGCAATCCCATTACTGAGTATATACCCAAAGAAACATAAATTGCTCTACCAAAAGGACACATGCACCCGTATATTTATCACAGTGCTATTCACAATAGCAAAAACATGGAATCAACCCAGGTGCCCATCAATGATGGATTGGATAAAGGAAATGTGGTACGTATACACCATGGAATACTATGCAGCCATAAAAAAGAAGAAAATCATGTGGGAGCTAAACATTGGTACCCATGGACATAAAGATGGGAACAATAGACATAGGGCCTACTAGATTGAAGGCGGGATGTGGGACAAGGACTGAAAAACTACCTATCCCATACTGTGCTCACTAGTGACAGTCATATCTCAAACCTCAGTATGATGTAGCATACTGAGGAAGGAGACGCAAGCATCTAAGATCACCTCCCCTTTGACTTCCACACTGCATTTCAAGGGAAGAAAAGGCTGGCCAACTGGTGCCTCCTAAATCGCCCCCCTATAGATGGCAGGCATAGTATGGGGGAATCTCTCCAGAAGGCATTGTTTTTACTTAAACAAGATCAAACACCCACCCCACTCCTCCTCCATCGACCAAGACCCTTTCACATGTAATTTCTAAAACTGTAAACCTGAGACTCTTTCACATGTAATTTCTTTTTTTTTTTTTTTTTTTGAGACGGAGTTTCACTCTTGTTACCCAGGCTGGAGTGCAATGGCGCAATCTCGGCTCACCGCAACCTCCGCGTCCTGGGTTCAGGCAATTCTCCTGCCTCAGCCTCCTGAGTAGCTGGGATTACAGGCACGCGCCACCATGCCCAGCTGATTTTTTGTATTTTTAGTAGAAACGGGGTTTCACCATGTTGACCAGGATGGTCTCGATCTCTTGACCTCGTGATCCACCCGCCTCGGCCTCCCAATCACATGTAATTTCTAAGGCTGTAAACCTAAGATCCTTTCATGTGTAATATCGAGCACAAGCCTATATAAACGCAGAGCTTCTCTTAGACAAATTGTCGCCTCGCTCCCGACGGTAATAATAAAATACCTCTTCCTTCCTAGTTCGGTGTCCCAGAGGTCTGTTTCTCATGGCCGTTCCTGCATCATTTTCTTTGTAACAAACCTGCACATGTACTCCCTGATTCTAAAATACAAGTTTTTAAAAATGAAAAAAAAAAGATAGAAAAACAAGAGGACCATACTTTGGTTAGAAATTCACAGAGCTAAGCTTTTCTGAGTTTAATAAGATTACCGAGTTAAACGTAAGAGAGATAGGGAGACAGCAAATATGTGTGGTGAATGATGGTCAGGTGTTTGCACAAAAATCACCATGCATGCATGTGATAAGAATAAATATTGATTAGGAAGTCTTGTTAAATACACATTAGCTATTTAACAAGGAGGCACCAACTGGGTGAGGACTTTGATATCAGTGTGGCATGAGCCACCATATGTAGGGAACATGAAACTAGATAGGAATTACAAAAAAGAAAAGAGCAAAAAACAAGTATTTATTCGTATATGTTGAGCACTAGGCTAATGACTTCTCAAATTTTTTCTTATGATCTTTCTTTTACAGATGAAGGAAATTGAAAAGAAAAACTATAAGGAAATCACCGTAACCCAATTCCAATGCTCATTCACTCATTCATTAAATGTTTTTTGAGCATTTTCATTACTTGCCTATGAGCTAAGGGCTAGGGATAGAAAGGTGAATCAGGGTGCTTACCATCGAGGACTTCAGTCAGATTCAGGAAGAATTAAAGGGTAGAAATACAGTAGGAGATACAGCTATACAAGGAGTAGGAGTGAGAGTGTTAAGAGAGGAGAGAAGGGGCACCTAGCCTCAATGAGCTGGGAAAGGCTTGCCATAGAAATGACCCAACAGAACAGAATGGGAGAGAAGGAGAGAAACAGGGAAGATGAAGAAAGATTAGCTGCTCTGACAACTGGAAGCAGCTAGTAAGGCTGAAGAATAAAGGCAGATCATCACATGGACAGGAAGGAGCCGGAAGTCTGCAAATGAATGGCATGCTAAGGAATTTCCATTTTAATCTCAAAGTTAAATCGGAACGAGACCATTCAAATAAATACCTAACAGCAACAGTCAATTTCAAATCGCTTGTGAGGTTTGCCTTGGCATGCATAGGAAAAGAATGTAGCTATTGATGAGGAGACCAGAGAGGAGTTGTTTCAATGAACCAAGGCTGTGAAATAATATGAGTTCCATCTACACATCTTAACCCTTGGGATAACTGAATAATTAACTGCCCACATCACAAAATCGTACTATATAATTGTGCATTTCACATCTTCAGCAAATGGTGGTAACAAGTGATGCCGGCTATATCCCAAAGGTGGCGCTGTAACCTAAAAACGCAGAACCCAGGAAATGCCCTGAAAACTATAGCAAGGGTCTCTCTGTAGGACTATGTGCTGAAGGAGCTGACTCAGACCTAGTCCTCCACCTCAAGAAAAATATGCCTTCAACATTTATAAGGAATATAAATGAAACGAAAAGAAAACTCAGTGTTAAGATGTCAAGGTTTTTTATTTTGCTATTAGTGCAGGATGATTGTTTTCCTACTATAAAATTAACATGTGCTCCTTGTAGAAAATTTAGAAACTGTAAAAATATAAAGAAAATGAAAATCGTTTCCCATTACCCAGAGACAACAACTGCTAACACTATGATAATTCTCAACTAATGTGAACACAGCTCTACCCTTCAACTGACAGGTAATGCCTAAGAAACCCAAATTTGTGACTGTTATTCAGTCTTTCTCTAACACCCGTATTCATTGCATACATTATTTTTTAAATTGAGATTATCCTATATAAAAGCATGTACCTGCATTTTATGCTTAATATTCTTTGTAAAATACTTTAAGAGATATTTCATCCCATGAAAGGATACTGAGGTTTCCTCCACTCCTTTGATATTACAAATGATTGTGTGATTAATATCTTTGTGCATAGAGCTTAACATGCACTTCACATTATCTCCATTAGAATTGAAGTTTTGGGGTCAACAACTATGCACATATTTTAAAATCTGTGTATTACAACACATTGTTAGCAAGATAGTCCTTGATGTTACTGAAGACACCTTATACACCATAGTGCAATAATCATAGCTACAAATGTTTTAATCTCTGGAGTTCTGGTTTTCCCTCCAGTTCTGAGTCTGTGAATCCAATAGATATCATTATGAAGCTTATAATTGTTTATAAGGATGCCAGCATTATAAAGGCATATTTAAATAGCTAACCCCTGCTATCAAGGGTTAGGTTGTCCCAGTTGCTTTTGATGGCTATAAAACATAATTGATTTTTGGACTGAAGACAATATAGGCTTTGCTATCTACATTATGTCGAGCCCCTATCTACATATAGAATATAAAATAGTCCTAGAACCAAAGTTATAGGACATAATTTTCTAAGAAAGTGCCAAATTATATCTAACTATTTGAACCCTGAAGAACTCTCTCCTCCAAGAAAAAGGCACAAGAAGACCTGAACCACAACAGAATATCCCAGGTACAACCTGCGGGCTGATTGATAGAACCCGGTAGACAGCTATCGATAAGTTTCCTTAGATTTAAATTTCATGTTTTAGAGGGAAAAAATATTCCCAGCTTATTCCTTCAGTGCAAATGAGAACAAGAAAAAAAAGAAAAATATGTATTCCCTGCAAAGAGGACGTGACCTGACATGATGGTGGATCTCATCCTGAGATGACACTTCTTACTTATCTTCCTTCCTAATTTCAAACACTGTCCAGAATACATTACACTATGACTAATCTTTCACAACTTGTGGATTTCATGTACTCACCTGCTCCTTGTTATTTTCTATTTCCACAGTTTCCATTTCCACCACTCTCTTTGTCTCCCTTAATTTAGGGAATGTACATGCTCTGCCTCACCTGCACTGTGATGTTGGCAAGAAAGAAGGTACTGTGACAAATGACATTTAAACTTGGATAAAATGTTTTGCTTTACCCCTTGGACAGGATGGAAGACCTGGACATGTGAGGGAATATTCAGTTTATACAGTAATCACTTTCACAAGAGTTACAGGCTGAGTGCAAACTCCCCCAAACAAATACCGCAGGCTAATAAGATTTACTAACTTTTTCTGATGACTGTTATCTATTCATAAAGCAGCATAATCTTCACAGCATGATTAGAATCCTTTATCGAAGACTCAGAATGTCTCCACCAACCACTGAAATCTAGTAGTACTTGAGTCCCAGCCACAGAGCAAGCACTATAGAGTTAACTAGACCCTTACAACTTTTTCACTCACCCCAATTTCACAAAATGTATCAGTAAAAAAAAAACAACCAATTATCTAAAGAAATGAAAAATAAAGGAAAATTCTTTATCACATAGGTAACTTGGTATCAACTAGGTAATTGATCTATTTTAATTTAGGAAGTTAGTGTCTTCATACCCCAATTTTCGGATTTTCTGAGGGGAGGCTCAAGAGGCTTGTTTTCTACAGGAAGAAAGCAAGCCAGAGCATCTGAAAAAGGGAGCAATTTGCTAGCAGAATAAAACGGAACAGAACACCTACCCTCTATTAACTCCAGCCTCTCCCAGTCTCTCTCCAAGGCATCAGCTCTTTTCTGCCCTGCATCACAGGCTACCTCCAAAAACAAAGTCAAGAGCATCAATAGAGCACTGGGCTTCCCCGATTCCTCCCTCCACACTCTTCTCTCCCTTAAAGGGCAAAGGGAGGGGACAAAGAGAAAAGACCACAGATAATCTCCTTGGTTTCGGAATTATGGTTTTCATGGAATATAAAGGAGTGTTCTTTCTCTGAAGATGAGGGTGTGTTCATTTCACTGCATGTTTTGGCAAAGTACTTGTCAAGCATCCCCAACTAAGACAGAAAAGCATGTAGCTTAACAAGAAAAAAGGCTGAGAAATGAAATCTGAAGTTGAAACCAACCACTAAGCTCCGTGACAGGCAGACAGATTAGCAGTGACTACTTGAAAGAGAAAACATCCATCAATTTGCCAACGAGAAAATCTGGTCAAAATAAGGAAATGCTTTCTCATGAGTTCTGAAATTTGAAACAATTGGTGACTCTAAGGGTTGGGTGTGTGATTAACAGCAACCATACCTCTTGAGTTTTCAGGGCAGGTTCATAATTATTATCACCACCCCTCTCAGGCTTAACTTCAAATCATCTACCTGTTGTTCTTTTATGTACATATTCTTGTTACATTAAATTGAGTTTTAGAAAACGCAGTCGCCATAGTGGCCATTCATTAAATATTTGTCAATTTTGCATAACCAATCAGTCATGTATAATCCTTCACAGCATGAATTGAATTAGTTCCTTTCTTTCCACGCCTGTTGGCATGCCCTGATTCAAAATTATACCATTATCTCATGTATCTCTATGTCTCTAGGTTAGAATGTGCTCAGTACATATTAGGCACTTAATACAGGCCTGTAAAATGAATATTTGTTGATTGAGTTATTCTTCAGTCACTTCTCAACACTTTTATCAAAATCATCTCTTCTATCAGCTGTAGATTATGGGGAAAAATCTACATTTTAAACAATTATAAAGAGATGTGTTATTAACCTCTTCCCTGACAGGTTAAATATTAGATGCTTCAGCTTCTTGCAACCAAAGCTTGCAGCTTTGCAAGACTGAATTGAGAATTCTGTTCATACTTTGGTCCAATTCTTGCATAAGTCACATAAAATCTGTTCTCATTTCTTTGCTTATTTATAACATTAAAGAATTTGACCGAATCTGTGCTTTTCAAATTAGCCACACCCCAATGATGGGTTATAAAGTCAATTTAGTATGCCTATCTAGACAAACTTTTTTTTTTTTTTTGATAGAGTCTTTCTCTGTTGCCTAGGCTGGAGTGAAGTTTGCGATCTCGGCTCACTGCAACCTCTGCCTCCAGAGTTCAAGCGATTCTCCTTCCTCAGCCTCCTGAGTAGCTTGGACTGCAGGCGCACACCACCAAACTCGGCTAGTTTTTGTATTTTCAGTAGAGACAGGGTTTCATCATGTTGGCGAGGATGGTCTCAATCTCCTGACCTCATGATCCACCCACCTAGGCCTCCCAAAGGGGTTACAGACATAAGCCACAGCAACCAGCCTTAGACACACATTTTTAATAAAATTAAACAAAATATTTAAAAAAATCAGAATACATCACACAAAGTAAGAATAAGTATTGCCTTAAAAAAACTTTTGTTTCATTTTTGTATATGTGTCTTTGGGTATACTGGTTGGCGGCATAACTATGTTTTTGACCATGAATTGTAGTTAAAAGGAATTTGAAAGCCACCAGACTAGCTCATCTTAAGTTTCCTCAGGCTCTCAATCAGTTGAGAGAGATATAGGAAGGGTTTTAGTGCTAGGAACACGGAAGCTAGAGCAAGAGACACAAGGCAGTATCCCCTGGGGCAGAACAAATGATGTGCATGTGAGAGATACCATCAGTATACTTGATATTATTCATCTCACATGAAGATAAGCACAGGGTAGGGACTTTCTACAGAACACCTCTTCCAGAAAAGCACTGGGAAAGCAAGAAAGTCACTACATCCCTGGAATGCAAGAGAAGGATTTGTAAAAATGAGCACTTAGTGATCCTCACCTACTCTAGGCCCATTGCAATCGTTACTAAGGAGAGGCAGTTTATGTACATAGAAAGAAGGCTGTGGTTGTGGGTGCATTATATTTCTTCATTCATTTAAGTGAAGCCTAGAAAACCCCACTCTTGACCGTCCTTGCTTTGATCTTCAACTTTTAAAATATAAAATTAGATCACATCTTATAGATGTTGGCATATATGCCCCTTACCCACTAGCACTTTGTCCTCAATACTGACAGGCCATGCAAGGCTAGACTAGTTCCTTACTCCTCTGGGCTTCAAGGCCATCACCTTCAAAACAGTGAGTTTCCTGGCCAGCATAATCTCTGGGTGTTAAATTGCCCAGTTTTCACCTGTTCCTATTTAGCAAGATAATCTGTATTGAATAAAATATCTTTCCCAAGTGAGAGCGACTTGAGGATTCCAGGCATTTTGTTCAAGAAGAAATCAGTCCCAAAGGATCCTGTTTGTGAGTAAAGCCACAGGTATTCAATCCCCAGAATATTTTATGGTCAATTGAGGAAACTGGATGAAGCCTTTTGGAGAGCAATAAACAAGTGTCCCCTGAGGGACAACTTTCCTAAAGGGAGCTCCAGAATTCTTTGAGATTAACCTTGCCTCTTTCCCTGTGCTTCCCTTCTTGATGTGCTGAAAGAGAAGGGGACGCTCACACTTTTGTCAGGGCACGCATCCCCCTGATAGCTGGATTAGGGGGACGGATGCCCTGAACCTGACCCCAGTAAAGGTGGGGGTCAGGTTTCCCCCCAACACACAGTAGTTTGCTTTTCTTAAAGCTCTTGCATGGCAGATTTGAATTAAATCTAAATAAACATCAAGCAATTTAATTAGTTAATTTTTTTTAAGAGTACAAAAAAGTTATTTGGGTACATTTATGTTTTTAAGTGAAAATAACAAAACACAAAATTTTCGTCTGATAAAAAGGTTAATACAAGCTTCAGATCCTCACTCTGCCCAGAGGTAATGAGTAAAAGTGAAAAGACAAAGGGGGAAAGTAATAGAAAAAAAACACAGAAAGAGAAGAATAGATAGGCAGAGAGGAAAAAATACTGAAACAGCAGGAAGGAAAAATGAGGGAGGAAGAGAGAGTAGAAAGCCAGAAGAGAGTAGGCCGGGCGGGAAAGGCAGGAAGAAGGGCACACCCTGGAAGGTGATTAGAAGCCAGCCCCTCCCACCAGCCCAAGGCAGAGCAGAGGAAGAGGACACAGTCATTTCCTGGTTTGAGTTGGGTACACTAAATAGCTGCCTCTTCTGATTCCTTAAGTTTCAGACACTGAAACTTGCCTGTACCCCACTGTCTGAATTGATATCACGATCTTAGATTTCCTCCCAGGACCCTGCAACTGTGTTCTTTGATGTAAACCTCAGATGAATGATTTCTGGCTCAGATTTTGCTCAAGTTTTTAATCCACTGAGTTCACTTCAACTCAGTATTTACACAGTATCTGCTATAAACAGGCGAGGCACTGGGGGTACAAAGAGAATCCCACCCTTGGGGCAACTGTAGGCTAAAAAGAGAGATCAACTTTTAAGCAAACATTTCAGTATAACCTTTAAGAAACCTCTACCCAGGTGCTGTGTGCATGCAGACACAGAGCACAGGCTAGTATGGGATCTCACAGATGGGTACCTGGAGAAGATGGATCCTGAGCTTAGTGCCAGGGAAGCAGCTAGGAAAGAGGTAGGGAAGTGCTGTTCTAGCGGTGGTTGGGGGACAACCACCCGCAGTCTGGTGTGTCACACATATAAAGAGCATAAAGTCATGCCGGGGAAGGACAAGAAATTAGACTGAAAATGTCATTGACCAAGCATTGGAAAACTATGTGTCACTCAAAATAGCTGGAAGTTTATCTTACAGTATTTGGGGAGACATTGAAAACATTTAAGTAAGGGAAACACATGTTCAGGTTTGCATTTCAGATGTGTATTTGTAATGCCTGTTTGGTGCTGGCCCCAAAAAGACACCTCTGAAATGCAAACCTGAACATGTATTTCCCTTACGTAAATTTCCCTTATGTAAACATAAGTAAGTTTAAATGAAAGGAGGAAATTGGGCCAGTCCAGCTTTCAGTTCTTTATTTCTCAGCCCGTCTAGACCTGTAACAGTCTGGACCTACTGGGCACCACTGAAGGCAGCTATACCTAAATAAGCTGCTTTGTCCCTTGAAGGGTATTACCAATGAGCTAGTTTAATATCTTTAATATTTGTTGTATTTTTGCAACTTTAAGCAATGGTTGAAATATTTTGGAACTTGTTTCACGGGTTAAATAAGTCATCACTTCAGCTCACTAGAATCTCCCTTGGGGGTCTTCATTCCCATTTTAATATGAATAAGTAGCAGCATTTAGATTAAAAAAAAAAAAGCCAGGTGGGGTAGCTCATGCCTAAAATCCCAGCACTTTAAGAGGCCGAGGCAGGAGGAAAGCTTGAGCCAAGCAGTTGAGACTAGCCTGAGCAACATAGCAAGACCCCATCCAACCTTATTTAGAAAAAAAGGACAATCATGTGAGAGGCTGTGTATGTGTTGGGATAGGGAGGATAATGGAAATATTTTGTGCCTTCCTCTCATTTCACGGTGAATCTAAAAACTTCTCTTAAAAATTTGTCTAAATTTTTTTTGAAAAAAAAAAACAACTCATTAAGATATTGTAATTCCTTGATTTGTTAAAATACAATTTCAAAAATAAGGATTAAAACAGTTTAAGAAGAGAATGAACACAACATACACAAGTACAGTATTTTTCAACTTTTATGAACCCACATTCCCTTTTGATAAACATACAAATCTGTAGTTATTTGAAATTCCAATAAATACCATGATCTTTAAAAACTAAAGCCATGGCACATAAGACTGCTTTGTTTCGCTCTGCAAATAAGGGGACATGAAGACTAAAAACCCACTCCCTGCCAAATTGTTAAATGTTTTCCTAGGTAGTTATGTCCCTCCTTTCAGAGTCATTGGCATTGCAGGAAGAGCATGAACTTTGAAGTCAGACAGATTTGGTTCAAATATTCTGCTACACCACTTACCAGTATGGTGAGATGGATATACCTATATATACACATATACATATGTGTATATATATACATATATGTATATATATGTATATGTAT